GAGCGGGATCGGAGTCGCGACGAAGAGAAGAAGAAGAAGAAGAAGAAGAAGAAGAAGAAGAAGAAGATAAGAAGAAGAAAAGAACGAAGAGAAAGAAGAAGAAGAAGATAATTGGAAGAAGAAGAGGAAGAAGAAAAGATTAATAATTAAAAAAAATAAAAAGAAAATTGTCGTCGATTACTTATCTGCGCAGAGGTAGCAATGACGAGGACGAGGACGGCACGGCGCGGCGATGAGGACGACGGGCACGGCGACGGTGACGTGGCACGACGACGACGATTGCGACGATGACGATGATGACGTGGCACGACAACGACGATTGCGACGATGATGATGATGATGACGTGGCACTACAACGACGATCATGACGATGATGCTGATGATGGCCAGGTGGTGATGACAAAGCAGGGTGGGTCGGGTGGGGTCAAACCGCTCCGATACCAGTGTGACAGGGCTGAGGCAACGAGGCTGGGAGAGAGAGGGAGAGAGTGAGAGCACACACACACACTCACTCAACTCGACGCAGACTCGACACGACTCGACGGACGCAGACACGAAGTGGCAAAGTCGCAAAGTCGAAGTCTTGGATTTCCCGAACACAATGTTGAAGCAAGTCCCACTGAGTACGAGTACAGCAGCAGAAAACTGGTACGAGACCGGTCCCCCTACCGTACGGGGAGCCGGTATAAGTACCGGTGACATGTACGGTACCCGGGGCATTTCTGCAAAGGCCCTGAGGGCAGAACTGAAAAATGTGGTATTTGAAAGTGGGGCCCGAATTGCAGCATGGCGCCAGTTGTCCAAAATCCTGCGGTACCAAAGGAGGGGTTTGGAAAAAGGGTGCCAGGCCGGAAACGGGGTGCAGCCGAAACAGCAAAAGGATAGACCAGGGATCAAGCCCTGGCGAAGTCCGTAACAAAAGGGGCATCCCAGGACGTTTTTCGGGTCCTGGCCGCCCCTTGAACAATAATGGGGTGATTTTTCAGTGTCGTTTCACCCACCGGACAGGGCCTATTGGACGTGCCTCCCGCCGTTGCTGCCCTTTGCCGAGAGAGAGAGAGAGAGAGAGAGAGAGAGAGAGAGAGAGAGAGAGAGAGAGAGAGAGAGAGAGAGAGAGAGAGAGAGAGCAGTGACAGTGCTGGCAGTCTGAAGACTCTGACGTTCTGAGTTATATGAAGTTATGAACTTAAATTACTTAATTGAAGTTAATTCAAGTTCAAACTTCGAAGTTAATCATACTTTTTTGATTTTTTTTCCTCTGTTTCTTTAGTCTTGTGCCTGCTTTGCACTGTTTGCAACTCTGCAAGTCCGCTAGTTGAATGTGCTTGTTGATTTGCTGCAAGATAGGTGCTCTGCTGCCTGAACTACAAAGTGCAAAGCAGGTAAGCGCCTGCCAACAGCCCCCCCCC